TAAAACTTCTTCCTGTCTGCTATAGTCCACACTGTTCACTGGTACCAAACTATGCTTAATTAAAGACATAAAACTACCAGTGTCCAGCAAAGCAGTAGCCTGCTGACCATTGACCTTCACTTTTTTATAGCGTTGCACATCCACTGGCTGGACCCTTGTGGGCTTCATCTCCAGCCGGGGTGCATAGCAGGCACCAGTGACTTTAGCCTTCCGGAGAGGGCATACCGATGCTTTATGACCTGGCTGCTGGCAATAATAACAAAGAAAGTCCTTACCCGGCCCTCGTAAGTTGGATACCTTGGGGTTTCCGGGTGGCTCTGGGTTGCTCTCCCTCTTCAGAAGACCCGATGATGGGAGTGGTGGTCACTGTGGCGTCCCAGATGAGCGTGCAGGTGGTGCTCCTTTACGCGCATTGAAGTACTGTGACACCAGCTTAGCGGCGGTCAGTCCATCTGCTGGCTCATGCTCCCTCACCCAGGTCCTCACCTCCCCTGGAAGCACGCGGATTAACTGCTCCAAGATGATAGCTTCTCCCATCTCTTCTTTCGTATGCTGCTCTGGTCGGATCCAGCGCCGATAGAGGCCCTTCAGGCGATAATAGGTCTCTGTGGGGCTCTCACCAGGTGGAACTGTATTGGACCGGAACCTCTGCCGATACGTCTCAGGGGAAATGTCAAATTTGGTTAGCAACGCAGCTTTTAAATCTTCATAACGATGGGCTCTTTCTTCATCCATTGCAGTGTAGGCCTCCAACGCCTTCCCCGATAGCAGTGGAACTAGACGACAGGCCCATTCACTCTCTGGCCATCTCCAGGTTTTGGCAACTCGCTCAAAACGCAACAAATAGTTCTCAATGTCTTCCCCCATCTGATAGGGTGGAATTTTTGGCCCAGCAGATCGCATCCACTCTGAGACTGACTGGTCGAGGCTGTTGGTCACTGCTTGTGACTGACGAGAGGGAACCTCCTCTGGGGGATCCCGGTATCCTCTTTGACGTGCAGGTGTAGGCAGAACCATTCTGGGGCTGCTTGCTGTTGCGGTGCTTGGTGTGGCCGTTGCTGCTGTGGTGCTTGCTCCGGCTGGTGCTTGGACTGGACTTTGCTGACCAGCAAAATCTGAATGCGGCTGAGCGTTGGGAGGGGAAACAGTCCTCAGCCCCCTGAGTTCTGCCAAAAAAACCTCCTCTCTCCTTTGCTGTCCCGCCAGGAAGTCCCTCATCATCGCAATCAGCTCTCCATTTGGGTCACGTGCTG